AAGAATATATATATTTTATGGGGTCGGAAGTGCTTCCTTCTGCCTGTTACATACATTTGCATTTTATACGCATTTTACCCATTTTTAATTCAGGGTATAAAAATAATGAGTTGTTCAAAATACTTGGTATTTGATTAGTAAAATTCGTAAAAACTAAAAAGACAAATTTTTTAGATTTAGCTTTAAACTCTATTTTACCACTAGTATGTTAATACAACTTTGCTTTAAATCAAAGCTAAGATTCCCAGTCTAACCGAGTTGCATAATAGAAGTCTCGTAGTGTTCACAATCTGAAGTAAATCTTCCAATTAGAGTTAAATATTTTGACTCTGTGATATTAAAACAAAGAGAAAAACACACCGGAACAGATAGAAGGTTTTGTTGCCTTAAGATCGAGAGCGAAGACTTTGTTTTTTCTTGCCGCCGAGAAGGGCGCTGTGTTAAGGCGAAATCGCACTTCACGCCTGATTTCCATTTGCTTGCGATCCAAAAAACAAGCGAGGCAACGTCTTACACATGAGAACCTTGATTTATGGCATGCAATCAATCCCAGGCACGTCAGGTTGGGCATGTACTCCAAAACAGATTTTAGTTGCGAGTTGAATAGTAAGTGAGGGATTTATAAAACTGCGAATGTATTAATAATTGTTGCAAAGACCAGAGGAGAACAGGCGAACTAGCATTTGCCATATGATTTCGCGACTTTGGCGTGTTTCATTGGGGGCTGATCCGAAATGGAATTTAAGATGGCCGCAGCAAGCACTCCACCACTGCGAAATGACTTTTGTTTGTCGGGTTTGAGGCGGCACCGGCTGTCTTGATACTTATGGCGAGAAAATGGAAAATTCGATGTCGCCATAAACATTTATTGCTACTTTGGGAAAACTCGATTACAGCCGGCCGCCGGCCGCCGGACTCAGACCCCCGTGCCAATGCGCAGCCGCCATTTTACGAGCCGCGCCTGGGCACTTACGGCATCATCAGAACAGGGGCAGCACCACATACCACATAGCACATGGCACGCATGGCCTGAATATTGGACCCATGCAGACAGTCTACCGCTCATCAGGCCCCGTTGAGCTGAAACGGATTTTGTGCTTAGTCAGGATGCGAGTATGATACACATACTAGTACTCGCATCGACTGTAGTTTTATTGGTCCTGGCACTCGGGAAAATGTATACAATTTTCATTTTTATAACATTTACGCTTCAGCGCACGTCTTCAGCCTCCGCGTACGGCAATAAAATGAGGAAATGTTCGCAATCATAAAAGTTTACGAGCACGAGCACCCAAATTGGGTTTGCACATAACAAAGTTTTAAGCGAATATTTTGGCGTCAAAAAAAAACATTTCATTCGCCCTGAAATCCCTAAGTATAATAGGGAAACTTGTCAAAACATTCTACACAATACAAATGTGAATCATTCTAAAAATGAACAAACACATTAGTCTTATATTATTTACCATCTTTTGGATCTTATTCGGCGTAATTGGCTGGATAGTGGCTGCGTGTTTTAAGGAGAGGAACCTTATACGATGTTGCATCTTACTAACCGCCGTCTGTTGCTGGCTCGTCTGGCTGGTTACCTTCCTAATGCAGATGAATCCCCTGGTTGGGCCACGCGTTGGTCAATTGAATATTTTGGGAATGATATCATACTGGGATAACTCCTACGTGCACAATGAACTGGACCCATAGCCAAGCGCAATTTTCGGCATTGTTTTCCTCCGAGCGAATAGCCGGCTTAATTGTCTTTCAATTAAGTTATAATGCAGATAATAATAATTTCAAGTAAGTGATATTAGCGCCTCGTTATGTTAATATCAACATACACATTTCTGAACTTGAGCATCACCAGTTGTACCTATTGATAAGCAATGTTATCATCACAATTCCAAAATACTGTAATTTTCAAAAATATAATATAATACGTTTTCCTAAAACACAAGCATTTTTCTGTTGGAGGTGCTGGACGAGACCACCCTTGTCTTTTTGCCAGGATATTTAATAAAACAATACCTCCTACAAACTATACATATCATATGCCAGATTTACCTTAGATTTTGCACCTGGACAACCTCTACCCAATGTTAATGTTACGCTGGCACACTTCTTACTGTAAGACATTCAAGTCCTTAGCCAAAAGTTGACGCATTTAGGTGTACGTCTAGATTGCTGCTGACTTTTATAATAAACTTCATAGAACACCGTGATGCGGAAGAACACTTAAGTTTGCTTTCTTAGGCGTGAAGGGTTTTCCCTTTGTGAGGAGCATAACGGCACGAGAAAAGGAGGACCTTGTCGGAAAGAGCCTGGTTCGGTTGTCATTATTTCTTCCTATGTGACTTCTTTCAAATAGCGTATACAGAAATATCAATGAAATTGATACTTGATTAAAGTTTACAACTCCTATTTAAATTGGGACTTTTTTCTTGACTAAAAAATCTATAGATTTATTGTCTTAAAGTTTTTGCATTTACCACCGGAGTGTTTCTGCTGGGGTATTGAAGATAATTTCTCTCCAGGTAAGTGAAATGCGAATTGCCGTAAGTGAGCCAGTGTTCCTACTATGTTCCAATAGTGTGCTTAAGCTGATTTTACATCATTTTTATGGTCTGAAAATAAATCAAAGAAAACTTAGTTTTGGCCATTTACCGGCCATTCAGAGAGAAAGCAATACCAAGAATTGGATTTAATGAACAAAAAGTAAATAGGGTGCTCCCGATTAGGGAATACCCAACACCAGCGCTAGTTTGCTTCAGCAGTAATAAAAATAAATGAAAAAGAAAAAAGAGTCTCCTCGATAGGTCTCGAACTCATAATATACCGCACTCCTTGCAACCGCGTCTACTCAACAGCCTCACTAATCATTGAGTCGTAGTGAGAAAAAAACGAAGTCAAATAGCACCACTGAAAACAATACAATCACAGTTGCAATGCTGTTGATAGAATTCAAAGAAGAATGAATAAATGTGTGTGTGCTAGCTGCCGCAAAACACGAGGCCAGCCAAAACACATTTTCTTTAATAACTTTGGTGGTTCTTATCTTATTGAGCTATAGAATATATGTAAATTCTCAAAAAGTCAATTGCATTTAAATTGTGGTTAATATTGATGGGCAATACAAGTTGGCTTATTAACTTGATTTGTAGCTTTGTGGTGTTAGCGGGGAGGTGGCAATAGCTATAACATGAATGCAACTTTATATTTATGTACTATTCTAGAAGGAACATATCAAGTTTGGTGACACTAGCTCTGAATATTTACCCAATTTTCTCAAAAAAAAAACAGGATTCCGATATCGATTTTTATCGGTTACTTGGAAACGGGGAAAGTTATTGAATATCGGAAACGAGTTCTGAGCGAGCACTAGGAGGACCTAAGCTACAATTTCAAGTCTCTAGCTCTTATAAGATCTGAGATCCTTGCGTTCACATATACGGCCAGACGGACCTGGCTAGATCGAGTCGGCTTGTGATGCTAATCAAGATTGTATATACTTTATGGGGTCGGAGATGCTTCCTTCTGCCTGTTACATCAATTTTGCACAAATACATTATACCCTTTTTATCTATTTTCAATGGTTTCAGGGTACAAACTGAACTAAAATATATAAATACCCAGTAACATAGCACAGCACACAATACAATCTCAATTGAAATGCTATTTATAGAATATATGTTTGGATGTATATACAGAAGTTCTTCTGATTTGCGCTATGTTCCACTCTATGTGTTTTAGAATAGTCGAATATTTTCAGTGAGTTCAGGGCATAAAAACATAGGTCAGAATTACTTTTCGATTCGATAAAATAGCTCAGTTGGATCATTTGTGTTTCGTGTCGGTCTGCAAAAAATACAAAAGTATATTTCTGCAGCTCGAGCTTCAGGGTTTCTTTTAGTTTGGTATTCTCTTGTTTAACAGCCTTGTTTAATTTTATGTTATTAGCTGCTGTATATAAGGTTGCGCCACCTGTGGCTTATTGTACGAACCTTATTAGCCAGAACGCAAACCAACTGCTATTCTGCCTGCCAAGAGCTAGGCGCTCTAAAACTCTGGTGAGAATCAAAATACGGAGAATGCTAGAGTTTGAAATTATGTTAGCTTTATATATATATATTTATGTGTATATATAAAAGCGTAAAAAACTTTTTAATTTCAAATTCTAGTGTTTTTTGCTTTTTGATTTTTATATATTTATTATCGTAAGCTCTATGCCCTGCTGGACTGCCCAACTGATTAACTATCTGATTAGCAATTTTTTTTTAATTTAGTGAATTTGTGTATATTACACACATAGAGGTGTTGTTAATGGTCACCCGCATGAAAACGGTTGTATAAAAATAATTAGCTCAACACTTTTTCTGTAATCCACCTGCGTTTAAACTCATTTTTATACTTCAATGGGTAAGAAGGGTATAATGTATTTGTGCAATTGTATGTAACAGGCAGAAGGAAGCATCTCTGACGCCATAAAGATATATATTTCGATCAGGACGCCGAACTAAGTCGATTTAACCATTTCCGTCTGTATGAAAGTGTCTATCTCGAAAAATTGAAAAGCTGTGAACATGAAGTGACTTCCAAATTTATATTCTATGTTATACGCATATCGAGTTTATTATTTTATGTTGATGCCATTTTCAAACTATCTATAAAAAGGGATTTTAAAACTTGATTTCTTAAGCACAGTTCGTATAATATACACATACAAAGCATTTTGAATGCTATATTTATGCCCTTAAAATATCATGAAGATATAATAATAATAAGGCAAGTTATTCAACAATAGATTTTCAATAGTGCAGATCCATAAGTCCCTGCATAAGCTATCTGGATGGAGCATTCATATTCGTCCATATTTTATGATAATGCTAAGCCCATACCGATAATATTATATCAATTGAGGAGTAAGGGGAATTTTATTGTTGAGCAGACTCCCCTACAGCTTTCTCACATTTTTTGATAAATTAACGATCAAGATACTGTTCTGTATATTTCTCTATTTTATTAAAATAACAACAAATAATTACATTTTGTAAAATTCTTAATTAATCTACATCTCTGAATTTGAATTGCGGGTCAAAATGAATCCAGATCATCCAAGATGCATTAAACAATAAATTGGCGCCAAACATTGATTAATATCTATAAAAGTAATATGAGATATATATGTTAGCAAACTTTTCTTATTTTACTTAGATAATATCATGAGTAATTTTGTAATATTGTTCTTTGTTTTTTCATAAGATCATGCCGGATGCTTCATAACAATTAAAACCCGAATTTTTGCCAGCCTGGTATTATTTGTACACATTTTTGTGTAGTAAATTTTCTTTTAATTTTCTAAATGTTAATGTCATATCTGTTAAGACTTATTTACCTGTAATAGTTGGCTTTGAAAGGCCCAGCCTTACTTAAGCCCAGGAATTTCGCCTGTGCGTCGGTCAGCTCGGTTAAATGAGCATCAAACGTCGATAGATGCAAGCTAGCTACATATTCATCTGTGAATTTGCATTGGTAACGAATTAACACATTTTATCAAGTCTAAAACAAACAATTGACTTGCCCATTTTCTTTGGCAGTAAATACACATCCGACTTGTAGCGCCCCGGTGCTGAGTAGAGTTCAATTAGAGCTAGTGCTTGCGTGGAAGAGGCCACGGATACGACAAAGGATGAGATGGTGGAGCACGATAGATTGACTAAACGTCCCTCAGCCAGGAGAATGATCATTTTGCCGTCTGGCCAAGTAATATGGTCCACCTGTGAGCGCACTCGCTCCCAAGTTAACTCCGGTGTATGCAAGCTGCTTACATCTATTTCAGAACAGGAATGGCCCATGTTGCAAACGATGCATCCGTTCTTCATGCGATTCATATGATCACGTGTGACGACATGCTTATTACCGGTGGCGGTTACCACCACATCTACGTTGCGTATGACTTCTCCCAAGCGGACTACACGAAAACCGCTCATGGCCGCTTGAAGTGCACAGATTGGATCTATCTCTGTTATGTACACGATACAGCCTTGCCCTCGGAGGGCTTCAGCGCAACCTTTTCCTACATCGCCGTAGCCACACACCACAACCTGCTTTCCACCAAACATGATGTCTGTCGTGCGCTTCAGACTAGTTCAAAAATAATTTATTAGCTATGAGGGCAGATTGCTGATTATAGGAGTTATATGTTTACCTGTCCAGTATTGAGTCCCGACATGTATAATATGTGTCAAACTTATTCTTTGTCACTGAGTCATTGACATTGATTGCCGGCACGGTGAGCTTGCCTGCTTTTGACATCTGATGTGGAAAGGATAACAGATTAGCCAGCATGCAGGGGATGTGTACTTGCGCCGTCGCATATTCACCTGGTATAGCCTGTGCACTCCTGTCAAACTCTCCTCGACAATGCCCTTGATCGATTTGAAGTAGTCTGGATACTTCTTCAGCATCAAATGGGTAGCATCCCCTCCATCATCCAGTATCATGTTAGGTTGCCAGCCCTCGTTGTGTATACACCTATCCAGGCACCACCAAAAATCCTCTTCGGTCTCTCCGCGCCACGCGAAGATCGGTATTCCAACCTCCGCCAATGCCGCCGCCACTGCATTTTGTGTTGAAAATATATTACAGGCCGCCCACCGAACGGATGCACCCAGTTGAATCAGAGTTTCAACGAGAACTGCTGTTTGCGCATTGATGTGAGTGCAACCCACTATTTTCGCATTTTTCAGCGGTTTGTCTGCAGCGGCTCGTTTGCGCAAGGTCATGATTCCCGGCATCTCCTGCTCTGCGATTTCAATCTCCCGGCGTCCGAATGCGGCCTTACCAATATTCTTAACGCAAAAGTCAGAGTTGCCATGGGAGTTGTTCTGCTTTACATCCTTTGGCGATATCTCGTCCTCATCTGAAGTTTCTGTAAAACATGCTGTGTGGTAAGAGTTAGAAAAATAATCATCAATAATCATCTCACTACTTTAATTAATTTGATCCTGACTTACCTGAACTAAATGAACAGGTGGAAACGTCGGAGAATCGACGAGCTACGATACTTGATTTCTTCACTGCAGTCTATAGTAAGAAAAGTTGAAATCTACAGTTTTTTATATTTAGCCAATTTATAGAGGAATTTCAAAAAAAAAGCTTGAAATGTTTATAGCTTTCAAATAGTTTAATTGGACCCTGTGTCCAATTCGAGCTCCACTGAGAACTCAAATACAGGTCGCAGCTGGTATTTGGCATCGGTTAGAGTACCGACGATAAATCGCCGAGTCAATTGAGGCTGTATAAGCGTAAAGCAGGTCGAAAATTGCGGCTTCAAAGATCACATGCCTACATCTAAGAAAGCGGGCACATTAATTGATTCCATAAATGTGTATTTTATGTATTTGTATCCGTATCCCAGCCCATCTGCTAACTGTTGTGTAAATTTCCATAGCCGTATTCGTTAAACATTTAACATATATACATATAAATACACATTCATATACTATTTAAATATACATGTATACATACATATGTACATGCGAATGTAAATTGCAAGAGCTGTTGCTTTATATTGACTCGCAGCACTTGTAAATACTTTTAATACTCTGTTTATCAATCGAAAATGAATATATTGGTTTATGCACTGCACGTTTTGCTGCTTGAAATATACATATTCTCGTGTATATCCCTTTCAACTATTCACATTTTTGTGGGGGCCGGCTGACAGAGCAAATTGGGTTGAATGTATTCGACATTTTAACACCATGTATAGAGTATTGCGCAGTCGAATACCCATGATTGCAACGTTTCTCACCTATTTCATTCTGGATTTTTTGTTGATTTTTTACTTAACAGCCTCTCGTGCCAAATGTTTTATAGCCAAGCTGCTAAGATTCGCGTTTGTTTTCATACATTACTTAGTAGTACACACGCGCAGCAACTTGTAAAATTTGTTGTTCTATATACCAAATAGAGATATACATATACATACACAGTTACATATATATATAAATGTGGCAACCACTAACGAATCCCTGGAACTGCAGATGGATGAATGAAAATGAATATTTTTGTACCTTATCGGCCAAACTCAGGTCTGCAAATGTTGTCTCGGGCATTTTACTCATCTTGAAGTCACTTTTATCTGAAAATTATTGCGTCAATATTATTTACATCGTTGGCTGAGTCGACCTTTGGGAACTCACATTTGACAATGTCAAAACTGGTTCTATGCTGAATATGTTTCAAGTTTGTCAACAATCGTAATCGTTGTTTGTTTTTTGCTTGTTTTCAGTTTTCAGTCTGCCTTTTTATGCACACACGAGACACACGAGACCGGCCTTCGAATCGGGGAGTACCACCGTCGATACCAGTGGAGATCAAACCATTTACTAGATCTGCCTTTGCCAAGCCAAAGCTCAACATTACCACCGCGCCTCGAATGAGATCGCAGCGCAATCGGACTTAATGCACTTTGCTCAATCTCCGTCTCAGTCTCCCTCTTCGCATTCGTCTGCGTCGTTGTCTGCGTCACTATTACTGGGTCGAGTGCGGAACGTGGAGTGCCGATGCCTTCGTGTGCTCTCGACTGGCGCAAACAACAAACTGATTCGCATCAACTGGTACTGGTTAAGTTTATGGGGAGCAGAGCGATCGTATAGAAATAAAGAAATAACACAATTAAATAACGAGAAACGAGTGCAACAAAAAGTCGAGCAAAAAATTTGCTCAAATAAAAGCGCACCAACAAAAATAAGCATGTTATCTTACTCAAAGCTGTTAACGCTCTCGCACGTTGTTCTCGTATTTCGGCTCTCAGCATGAACAGAGAACCCTTGCCGCCTGCCATCTTCACCTGTACATAACTTGGAACTAAACGCTTATCAAAGTTGACTTGACTGTTCCGATTAGCAAAATCAATTGGGGCTTCGACGTAGTACGTAGCTAGATGCCTAAACCAAAATAACTATGTGATCGCATTATATCAGTGCAATATTCCTTACAAGCCTACGTTCACAATCGGATATTTAAATACAGCTTGCACCGAAAATTGATTGCCCTCTCAACTTAAATGCATACTTACATACAATGCTGGACTATCTCAAAAAATCTCAAAATTAAGTAAAATTTTCATTTGATTAATAAACGATAAATTAGTAACATCGGCAAAAGAACGAAAGGAAAACCTAAAAATAAGAAGTAACAAGTAAGAGTGCTCCAGTCGGGAGTGCCCGATTAGAGAATACCCTAACCTTTCTAAAATTTGAAAAAAAAATTTTCTGTTTACACTGTACTGTAAAGTAAGTTCTTGGAAGGTCTTAGCTTAGCTCTTATAGGTCTTCAGACATGGCTAGATCATCTCCTGATCGAGAATATATATACTTTAAAGGGTCGGAAATGCTCTCTTCTGCCTGTAGCCTACATTTACATATCTTCAATGGGTTAAGGGTATAAAAAGAAAATATGTAAGTGTCAAACCACATAGCTCTATAGAAAGAACCTGTCAAAAAATGAGTTTATGTAGCTAAAATTGGTGTTTTTTTAAATATATAAGCCAAACTCAAAAATTGCGCCCCATAATTTTCCTCAAAACGGTTAGTGTTAGTGTTTTGTCTTCAACACACATTTAATATTATTAGTTTGTTGACTGGTTTCCTGGATCTATCATCAGCAAGCTGCTAGCGGTTTTGTTATTGTAAATGCTGTTTTGTTTAAATATTTGTAGGCAGCATCAATTACCGAGTCGATTAAGCCATTTATGGCATTGGCAGATAATGTTTGTTTCACATCTTCGACAATTCATTCCTTTTAAGAGTCAGATACACTAAATGCAGGACGTAACACACACAGATTACTATTCACTTTTTGGATATCTCATTTTAAGAGAAGTAAGCGTAGGCTCGGAAAATTGCGTAAGGATCGAACTATAAGCACCGAAAATAAATAAGAATTTATTTGCCATTCATAGAGTGGGGCCAAATGAAGAAACAGTGTGCGGAAACAGTGTGTTTCTGTTATATGCCCCTAGATACGGTGAAAACATCTGAAAATCTATACGTTTTGTGGAAACCGACTGAGCTATCGATAATTTTTTATGAACTTGATTTAAGCGAGTTATAGAAGGACCCACGTCCAAATTTGAAGTCCTTAGCTTTTCTAGTCTCTAAGATTGAGCCTTTGCTGAACTGCTGGTTTCTAATGGCTGCCAGTGCGCACGTACTCTATGCGTAGCCGCCTTTTCTGTGCCAGAAGTGGGGCTACCTCCGGGTGGATTGAGTCTCGAGGGGGCGATGTCTGAATTGGGTCTATCGCATGAGAAGCAAGTTGGGCTGCTGTTCGAATCTTCGCCAAGAAATAATCGACATTATGGAAATCCTTGATGTCCTCCTACGATGTCCTGACTGCGGCCATATGCAAATGTGGTTGAGATATGTGTTCCAGGAGGTGGTGGCTCAGGCTACGGCGGATTAAAATGCATGCACCTTCTCTAGGACCTTGTGTAGTTTGGTAATAGGATGGATGTATTAGTTCAAAAACATTTAACATTCATTTGTTTTGTCTTGTCAATATGAATCGTAATCGTCTCTTGTGTACATATATATTCTATTATCTTAAATATGCGTGTACCTTAAAGTCAAATAACGCTAACATTTAACTGCTCAAAATGTATTTAGGGTATTTTTTTAGCTGTCTATGAGGCCTGTAGTTTTAGGGGTTGCTCATTAACTTTATATGCTACGTGCCATTCCGCCATTTTTGCTGTCAATGCCCAATAGCTTGATTGCAGAAAATTTAATTAGATGCCAATGTACCTTTTAGCATGTTCATAAAATGGAGGGAATTTAATAAAAGAGTCTTTAGTGAATCATCCACCATCAAAAATCGCTGGGGATGCTGCGCACTAGTTTTGAGACAACTGTCGGGGAGGCGGCTGAGGGCGTAGCAAAATGTCCCGTTTAGGTCGAAGTGATGAGAAGGGATGAAATATATATCAAAGAGTTCCTAATAATATTTTATTGGGCACTTCCTTTTCGAAATCCCTTCGCAAAACTGTGTCACTATTCATTGTACATAACAAATAACTATTATACTAGGTGCTTCTGTTGTGATTTATTTGTAAAAATTGTTATAAGCCGTGTATTATATACAGGCTCAACTGAACCCATTGAAAATTAGTAAAACGGGTATATTGGTTTTCTGTTTTTTTGTGTATCTGGCAAAAGGAAGCATTTCCGATCCTGTAAAGTACATATATTCTTATATAGCAATATAGCAATCCGTTTGTCCATATGTATGAGCTAAAGATTTTGAACGAATGATTTTGGTTGAAGGTGGCTTGTGGTGCGCAACAGCAGAGAGAATTAAGTAATTTATTTTTTTTTTTGTATATATGTTTATTGTATTGAATCAAAAAAAGCAATTCATTTTGATTACAACACAGTTAACTTAGGTGGTATTTCGCCAAGCCTGGCTGGGTCCTCAGGCTTTATCGTAGACAAACATCAAAAGCTTCTTTTTTGAGTAAGGCTGCATCGTCACGTAAGTAGTCGGGGGGCTCAGGGGCGTCTCCAGTGTCGTGGTTGGAGGAGGTCCTTAAAGAATCTTCTCTTGGGACTCCTGACTACACACCTCCCAGCGAGGTCTCTTGCTACCCGGTTACAATGTCGCTGCAAGCGTTCGGTTGGCGAATGCTTCGACTTGGCTGTCTATAGTCTCCATTTTGAGGTCTCTGTGCAAGGTAGAATTTTTTACGTACCAGTTAGCACCGGTCATTCGGCGAAAGGCAAAGTTTTGGAGTGTCTGAATCTGTCTTCGATTTGTACGAGATGCAATTCCCCAAACCTGGATACCGTATCTCCAAGTTGGCGCCACCACGACGTTGTAAACTGCCCGTTTGCAGGGAAGTGGCAATGGGCTTTTGGGGTTTAGTAGCCAGTTGGCCTTGGCCATCTTAAAACAGCACTGCTTGAGGGGCCGTCGATGTGCGCCCGAAAGGTAAGCTTCTTATCCAGTACAATTCCAAGTTACTCGTCGCTTGTGCCAGGGTGAAGGGGCTGCCATCTATCCAGACTGCTGGAACCTTGCCACGCCTCAATTAAGTTTTTATGATGCCGTATTTTCTCAGTTGATTTAGCAAGCGAGCGCCTAGCAAGAGTTCCATCTGATTTTGGTAGAAAAAGGTTCTGGCTGTGAAAGGTTTCATTTTAATATTATGTCAAAGATATAATGGTATTTTAAATAAGGATGAACCAAGTGTAATAAATACAAATATTTAGATATAATAAACGAATTCTTTGACAGTGGTTCGAGCCGTGTTTCATTTGCACCTATAATTATATCTAGGATTTGCAGGATTATGTATGCAACGAAAAACTTTACCATCTAAATAGCCGCATGTCCTAAAAGCCACTGAGCAACAAGAATCCGTGTTCAAATCGTAGGCTAGATTATAATTAAAGTAAGGAATTACATAAAGCCATATCAATGTTTGGGGGTCTAAGGCATTGTAGATATTATAATTGTGAAGCTGAGGTTGGTGAAGATATCTTGAAAAACAGAACAGTATTCATTTTGTAATTTTATTTTCGTACCTATACATAGCTTTTGAAGTCTGATATTGATACGATTTTGTTCATATAAAGTGAGCAGACATATCGGACATACATACATCTATCTGCTCTTCAGGTTGATCAATAAGACATGTCTCCTTGTCCACGCTTCAATTTTCAAAAATTATAATACGCTTTATATTTGCATTCTATTTTTATAGATATATTGTATTTGTGCAAAATCCAAATGTATGTAACAGGCTTAAGGAAGCATCTCCGACCCCATAAAGTATATATATTCTTAATCAGCATCAATAGCCGAGTCGATCTAGCCATGTCCGTCTGTCTGTCCGTCCGTCCGTCCGTCCGTCCGTATGTATGAACGCAAGGATCTCAGAATCTCTTGAAATTTTAGATGGTCCTAGTTCCAATAATCGATAACTTACACCGTTTCCAAGCAATCGATAAAAATCGATATCGATATCCTGTTTTTTGGGCAAGTTTGGTAAATAATAAGAGCTAGAGTCACCATACTTGACATGTAGCTTCTAAAATAGAATATTAATATGCATTTGATGTTGGAAGAAGAGGGTTCAGGGTATCCCCTAGTCGGGAACTCCCGACTAGAACCTCTTATTTGTTTTTTTTAAGTTGACTATTGAAAATGGTTTAAAATGGTATACAATTTTACTGCAAATCCAGAACGACGAGCTGTTATGTTTAAACGCGTCGATCCCGGAACCTGGAAAAGCTCTAGACTGGAGATTTTGCACGTTGATCCCCTTACTATCCGCGCAGTACTAGATTGTTTCAAATCATCAATTACCATCCCTATTTCTAAGAAATCCATATACAAATTTTTAAAATGTAGCTCAATATATATGAAGAATTGACATAGCAGGTACTTTAATATACAATTATTTATAACAGGTAAAACTCATAAGTGACCAACTACTGCTTCTTCCGCCTGCGCCACATTTTTGAAAATCCAATTTTTAAAAATTTCCATTTAATCGTCAATAATTAATCGG